GCCACCCAGGCATCCTGATTTTTATGTATGTTTTAAACTAGGCGTCAAGATTCATTTTTCTTTCCATCCGGTTAACTTAGCACCGTTTTTTGAAAGGGTTGTCTTTTTTCTACCACGCTACAGCAACACCTTTGTTATAAATCAGTTGCCTGTATGTGTGTGCATTTCTGGACTCTACTCGGTTTTATTGGTCTATTTGCCTTTTGTTGCACCGATAACACAAGGATTTCACTACTGGAATTTCACAGTAAGTCTCTTTTCCCCAGCTTTATTGAGGTATAATTGATAAATAAAATTGTAAGATATTTAAAGTGTGCAATGTGATGATTTGACATATATTTTATCAATTAGCACATCCATCCTCACATATTCACCTTTCTTTATTCGTTTATTTGGTGAGTGGTGAGAATATTTAAGTGCTACTCTCTTAGCAAATTTCAATCATACAACAGAGCATGTTATCCACTAGTCGCCATGTTACACATCTGATCGTCAGACTGTATCCATCTTATACTGAAAGTCTGTATGCTTTTACTAGCCTTTCCCTATTTCCCCCACCTCCCAGCCCCTGGCAACCCCTTTTCTACTCTCTGATTCAGTGAGTTGAACTTTTTTCCATAATAAGTCTGGATAGCTGATAGTTTAAATCCCTTACCTTTGTTCTGCTTCAGGATTGCCATGGCTCTACTTGGCCCTTTGCATTTTCATATACATTTTAGAGCAGTTTGTCCCTTTCCCTGATCCCCTTTTAACCTAAATCGTAGCAGAACAAATATATAGGTCTGCATTTGGGGTTTTTTCCATTTACGATATGTCAGGTTTTTATATAACTACCTAACGAGCTTCCCTATTTTTTTTTGAAAACTTAATAGTATTCTGTAGGATGGATGAGACATAATTTATTCTATCAACCCCTGTTGAGAGACAGGTTGAGTCCAATCTTTTGCTCTTATTCATACCTCCAATGAAAACATTTAGACTTTGTGTAAATTGTTTTCTTTGGTGGTTATAAACATAAGTTCAAAGATATTAGTGAATTTTTCTTATTGTCGTTCTACTGGAAATAATAAAATATAACAATACAGGATATGGGGCACCTGGGTGGCTCAGTCGTTAAGCGTCTGCCTTCGGCTCAGGTCATGGCCCAGGGTCCTGGGATGGAGCCCCACATCGGGCTCCCAGCCTGCTTCTCCCTCTCTCACTCCCCCTGCTTGTGTTCCCTCTCACTGTGTCTCTCTCTGTCAAATAAATAAATAAAATCTTTAAAAAAAACCAAAAAAGATTAGGTTAGCAAACTTTGAACAGACTTGAAGCAAAAATATTCTCTTGATCCACCGAGGGTCAAAATAAAGATATGTGTTAAGGTTCTGATTCAATTAATATTTTCCACATCAAGTATAGAGTGGGCGAGAGCTTAGTTCTTAGATGACTACCCATTTATTTTGCTAAATAAATACTTAATTGTACTTAACTGTGTTTACGAGGTTGAGCGGCTTTAGCTTCTGTTGACTTTTATTTAAAAAAACACAGCGGACACACCAGGATCCTGGGTCCTGGGGCTTCAGTGGAGCTTCACCTTGGTTGAAGGAGTTGCGTAGGCATCTCATCCACAGCCAACTCCTGGAACAGGGGACTGGTTTTGCGTTCCGTAGGGTCAGTAATAGACCCAGGCTCATTCCCTTGAGAATCACTTCAATTCTTTTTCAAAAAGTCCGTATTTAACAATTTCAAGGAGCCCTTTAAATGCAATTATCTTAGGCAGGTGGGGCAGTTCAGTCTAAATGGCCCTGACCTGCCCCCCAACCTCCATTCCATTTGGTTATATGACTGCCTATTGTTTTTGCCAAACAAGTAAGCTTGGGAGCAACGAGGAAGAAAGACAGCCAGGGACTCTCCAGGCCCACTAACGTGTCCTATCTCTCCTTTTCCACAGTGCATTATTAATACAATAACAATGCTTACTTAGTTATCTGCAGCATATGATTTTTAAAAATGCATAATACTAATACCGCTGGATTGATGTTTCTTGTATTTAATTATTAACTAGTAGAGATTCTGCAGTTTTAATGAGAACTAATAGTAACATGAAACTGTCCTCCTCTCTCCCTACAAATCTTAGGGCCAATTCCAGCCATATCTACCTATTGGAGGGGTGAGTGTACCTTCGGGCCCAGCTGTCTGTCGGTTTATCAGGTTCCCCAGACTCCCTCCTCCAGAGCTCCTGATGCAAATTTGAGGGCTCCAGGGCGGAAGTGGGAGGACCTTGAGTTTGGAGTTAGTAGTGGCTTTTCTACTGGTTTTGTCCTGAACTTCTCTTCCAGGTAAGATCATCTTGATCTGGACTCTGGCATTAGGTTCTCCTGAAGGTGAAAGGCAGTGCAAGCTCTAAACAATTTTCAGATTTGCTAAAACAAAGAAAGCTTCTCTGAGATCATCAGCCTCTCGAGGTCTAGGGAATGTGATCTGTCCAAATTATTTAGGTAACATTTTTTTCTCTATTTTTTCCATCTCCCTTCCCCTCTTTTTTATTCTCCAGCACTTTCCTTTGCCCCAAATCTCCAGTCAGGCCTCATGAAGTTCATCTCCAGTCTCTTCAACAACTTCATCGAGGAAACCTTGAAACCTGACAAAAGTAAGTGATTTGTTATATCTTCACCAAGTGAATTTTTTAAAAAGATTCCTGCCTATTTAAATAATTCCATTTTTTAAAAATAATTTTAAGTTAATGTTATGTAAAGGTGTGAATTATTTTAGGAACAAGTGGAATTATGAGCAAGGGTCCACTCCTGATTTTTCCTTTGCTCTTATTTTGGGAAGTCCTGCTTTGCTTTACAGAAATTTGCTTTCCTTGTGGACTCCAAGAGTTCATGTTGGGTGTGAGTGAACTTGTCATTCTTCGGACCCTCACAAATGGGAACACTGTGGCCAGCCACATGGAACGCTGAAAACAACACTGTCTGTGGGGTGAAAAAAAAGACTGAGGTTCTCAATTTCACTTTCGAACAATAACTTGTGATTCATGCAAGTTACTTAAACTTTTTATACATTGGTATCCTTACAGGTTTATCAAAAGATAATTTATTTGACCAAAAATTGACTGATTTGGGCAGCCCCATACCAGAAGTGTTTAGAAGTGCTCTGCTGACCTGAGTCATTAGAATGGCATATGCAGGAAAAGGGGCTGAAGCAAAGAAAGGAAATTATTTGATTGGCTATCGCTTAAAGCCTAGTTGGCTGTGACTGATTATCTTTAGGTTTTGATTTCCTAACGTCCAGGCAATAGAGGCTTAGATTTTTGTCTGCTTCTGCAGGCCACCAAAGCATTAGGGCCATTTTGATCCAATGGCCTCCTTGTCTGATTAATTTAACAAGGTAAAAATGGAGAGAACACATAACTGTCAAGGTTATTGAAAAATTAAGTAAAAAAAAAACAAAGAAGAAATCATCTAGTAAGGAGACATTCAATTCATTCGACAAATATTTACTGAGTCTGTGTTAGTTTCAAGCACTTGGAACTAAATAATTGAGCAAAACTGCAAAAAACTGCCTCGTGCAGTTAACATTCTAGTAAATTGCATAATAAGTAAGTACCTAGGAAAATATGTCAGAAGTTAATAGAGCGATGTCCTATAGTAGAGCAGGGCCGAAGGATCAGAAGATCAAGGTAGGTCACACTGAAGAGGCAACATCTGAGCAGATTGGAAGGTGATAGAGGTTTGCCATGCTACTATATAGGGAAAAGCATGGCAGAGAGAGCCAGCACAAAAGTCCCAAGTGGGAGCAGCCCTGTCTTGTCCCAGAAGCTGCAAGCAGGCTGGTGTGTTGTACTGAGTCAGGAAGAGACGACAGGAGATGGGGTCAGAGAGGTGAGGCGTGGGGCGACAGCGAGCTAGATCAAGTAGAGCTTTGTAGGCCATTAAGGGGCTTTGGCTTTTGCTCTGAGTGATATGGGGAGCCACTGGAGGGTTTGAATGGACTTCCTTTGAAAAATATTTCCTGGGGCGCCTGGGTGGCTCAGTTGGTTGAGCAACTGCCTTCAGCTCAGGTCATGATCCTGGAGTCCCAAGATCGAGTCCCACATTGGGCTCCCTGCTCAGCGGGGAGTCTGCTTCTCCATCTGACCCTCCCCCCTCTCGTGCTCTCTCTCTCCAAATAAATAAATAAAATCTTAAAAAAAAAAAAAAGAAAAAAAGAAAAATATTTCCTGGCTGGGGCGCCTGGGTGGCTCAGTGGGTTAAGTGTGTCTGCCTTTGGCTCAGGTCATGATTCCAGGGTCCTGGGATCGAGCCCCACGTCGGGCTCCCTGCTCAGCAGGGAGTCTGCTTCTCCCTCTGCCTCTCCCCCTGGCTTGTGATCTTTCTCTCTCACTCACACACACTCTCTCTCTCAAATAAATAAATAAAATCTTAAAAAAAAAAAAAAAAGTTTCCTGGCGGCTGAGTGGAGAGGGAGAGTATCAGACAAGGTTGGAAGCAGGGAGAGCTCCCAGGAGAGTTTGCCTCACTCTAGGTGAGTGATGATGAGACCAGGTGAGGTCAGGTGAGAAATGGTCAGTTGCCAGACAAGTTGTGAAGGCAGAGCCAACAGACGTTCCGACAGATTCTAGGTGGAGTGTGAGAGACGAGTGGTTAAAGTGATGGCAAGGATTTAGGCCTGAAAGGAAGGGCAGGGTTGCCAGTCCCTGGGGGCGGGAAGAAAGGCTGGGGATGGAGAGGAACCTGGGTCTCAGCCCCCGTCTGACGTGCAGACTGCCTTGTTGATGTCGCTATGTCCGTTAGATGCTGGCCTGGCCATGCCGGTGGGCAGTTAGATAATGAAGCTCAGTTCTTAGGACGGAGGTCTGGGCTGGGGGGTATGCCTTTGGGAACATTAGCATAAGAGCCTGCAGGAGCCTGCGCAGGAGAGAGCAGGGGTAGGAACAGAGGTCCTGGGGCTGCCGGTGATAAGAGGAACCAGGAAAAGAGATGAGGAAGTGCCCAGGAGGTGGGAGAAAAATCTAGAGGGTATGGTGTCTCCGAAGTAAAGTGAAAAGGAGCTTTGGGGCCGTGAGAGCGATCACCGCGTCCTGCTGCCCACCCACCAGGTAGGAGGCTCTGGGGATCCGCCACAGGTGCACCTTCGCAGTGGCCGTGGGGCCAAGGTGCGCGCAGAGCGATCTTGGTGGAGTGAAAGGCGAAAGTTTAAGTGAGATTTGGGGGAAAAGGAGTGGGGTCTTCACATGCAGATAATTCTTTGGGGATTTTTGCTGTAAATGAGAGCAGTAACCAGTAGGGGCAGAAGGAGGCCAGAAGAGGTTTTGTTTTTTGTTTGTTTGGTTTTGTTGTTGTTTTTTTGTTTTTTGGGTTTTTTTTTTTAAGATTGGAGAAACAACAGCCTTTTGGTACGCTCATAGGCCTGATTTTAGCAGACGGAAAAATTGATGGCAGGGTTGGGTGGAATTAGCAAGGCCATATTCCTGAGTCGGAAGGAGGGATGGGATTAAGTGGTTTTGGTTTGGAGCGCAGCTGGATGAGGGGTCAGCAAACTTTTTTACAAAGGACCAGAAAGTAAATATTTTAGTAGTTGCGGACATACAGTTTCTGTTGCAACTATTCTTCTTGTCTCTAGAGCCGACACACAGCACATAAATGAGTGGGCGTGGCGTGTTCCAATAAAACTTGATTTAGGTTTGCTGAAATGTTAATTTCATATACTTTTCACATGTTACAAAACGTATTCTTGTGATTCCCTGTCCCCCGCCCTAATTATTTAAAAACTAAAAACCGGGCGCCTGGGTGGCTCAGGCTTTAAGCATTTGCCTTCGGCTCAGGTCATCACCCCTGAGTCTCTGTCTTTCTCAAATAAGTAAATAAAATCTAAAAATAAAAATAAAATAAAAATAAATAAATAAAATAAAAACTAAAAACCATCCTTAGCCAGCATGCCGTACAGACGTGGGTAGTGGGCTGGATGGCCCACAGGCCATGGTTTGCCGACCCCCAATCTAGGTGACAGGAGGTTAACATGGATGAATACAGGGCGCCTGGGTGGCTCAGGCGTTAAGCGTCTGCCTTCGGCTCAGGTCATGATCCCGGGGTCCTGGGATCGAGCCCCGCATCGGGCTCCCTGCTCGGCCGGAAGCCTGCTTCTCCCTCTCCCACTCCCCCTGCTTGTGTTCCCTCTCTTGCTGTCTCTCTCTCTGTCAAATAAGTAAATAAAATCTTTAAAAAAAAATGGATGAATACAAATACAGTGGAGATAAAGTGAGGGGAATCCAGGAATTCTCCCAAGGGCTTCGATTTTCTGTTCGGTTGGACCCTGAGAATGAGGAGAAAGTACAGTACCACAAGCACCTGCATGAAAGGGACACAGAGTTGTCAGAAAGTTGAGCCTTCCCAAGCTGTGGTCTTGCCAAGGGAGTTTCAAGTAGGAGGAGGCCAAAGAAGCTGCATTTATGTAGGAGAGTGATTATTATGGTTGTTGGGTTGTGAGGTCTAGCAAATAAAACAACAGGACTCCCAGTTACATTTGAATTTCAGGTAAACAACAAATAATGTTTTAGTAGAATAACGTCACACGGTTAGGAGGGAGGGAGAACGTAAAGCAGATGAGGGAGTGTTACGAGGGGGAGTCATGAGTGGATTGGAGGTTCTAATGTGGGGAAGAATGTTGGAGAGGGCTACTGGGAAGGGGAAGGTAGAATCAAATGCTTGACCTTGAGATGAGGAGCAGTTGCAGCTACTGGCCCTGACGAGGTTCAGGGTTCAGCTATTGGGATAAGCCAGTAGTAGTGGGCGGAGGACAAGACCAGTGGGGGTAGCATACTGCTGATGCCCTAAGAGGGCTGAAATGATTGTACTCTTCCCATGTGTCCAGCACCGTGTTGGGACATGAAATAAAGATTAATCAGTGTTCCAGTCCGGAGTGACATGGAAAGGTCATTTAGAACTGGGTCAGGGAGGCCCTTGAATGTTACGCTAAGAAATTTAGGAACATGGGTTTAAGATCCCTCCCCTATGTTGAGAAATAGTGAAATCAATACAACTCATCCATTTGACATACCTGAATATGGAGGTTTTAAATATGGACTTGAAACATATTATCTTACAGTATTATATAAACTGGGATTGGATCAACTGCAGTTGGTTCTTAAGCTTTCACAATCTTCTGTTACTTCTAAGATGAAAGTAATTTAGAAAATACTTTAAGGACTCCCCCCCCACCCCACCCCCCAGCAAGTGAGTAAAATCAGACTGAATAGAAAGAGGAAGGTTGAGCTCCTAAAATATGCATTGGACCTGTGGTTGGTGCCTGGAGGTTGTCCTAAGGAGGGGTTAGGGAGGGGCCAGCGTGGGCTGGGTCGTGATCTGAACAGAGGTGTCAGGTCAGACCTTTGAGAAAGGGAAGGAGCCAGCAAGCACTTCTTTGCTAATTAATGTCTCTGCACTGCTTCAGTAAGCACACAGTCCCCCACCCCCACCCCACCGTATAGTATGCACAAGCTGTAACTGGGATCTGGAAACTAACTGGAAGTCAGAGGAGACATAGAGAGGCCTTCCGAGGTGCCGGGTTCTCAAGCTACAGTCCGCCCTCCGTAAGATGCTGGCTAAGATGTACGGCCGCTGCTTAAGGAAAAGTAAGCTCCACCTCGTTATCCAATCAGAAATGGAAAATGACTGGCTTATTTGCACAACTGGGATAGAGTAAGTTCAGGGGAAGGCTGCGGTGTCTGTAGAGAAGCCGAAGCCGCAACCCAACCACATCTATACAGACCCTTATCGGGGACTGGAGGGGATGCCAAAGCCTTCAGTGAAAGGGAACAGGTCAGGCGACGGCTAAAAAAGCCCTCTAACCAGGGGCGCCTGGGTGGCTCAGTCAGTTAAGCGTCTGCCTTGTGCTCAGGTCATGAACCCGGGGTCCTGGGACCAGGATCGAGCCCCGCATCCGGGCTCCCTGCTCGCCAGGGAGCCTACTTCTCCTTCTGACCCTCCCCCCTCTCATGCTCTACACTCTCTCTCACAAGTAGAAGAAAAGCTTTAAAAAAATAAAAAATAAAAAGCCTTCTAACCCAACCAGGGCTCAGTCACAGAAAGCAGAGAAGGGGTTTGTGTAGAGCATGTCCTCCGTTCCTAGCAGAGCTCCTGGCACACACAGATCAATAAATACTTGTTGAGTGAGTGAATGAGTACAGAACAACAAAAAATTCTTTGGAACTTTCTAGGTTATGTTTGACCACTTAACCAGATATGTGGCCTTGGGCAAGTTAATTAACATCCCTGAGCTTCAATTTCCTCATCTGAATAATGAGACTAGTTCTGGTCAACACCTCCACACCTTTTGCAAAGATGAAATGAGATAGCACTTAACAGTTAAAAGGAGTGATGGGTACCGTTGCCTATAGGAAAAGACATAGGGAGGAGTAGTCATTGTGAGGTGGGAGCAGGTTTTTAGAAATAACTTGAGAATTAAAGGGGGGAGGACTTTTACCATTTTTGGAAATTCTGGAAATTTTCTAGGAGAAAATTTTCCAAGTAAAGGTAGAAAAAAGTATTTGCTTTCTATTACATGTCAACTTGTATGGAAGACAGTGGTACGTATATTACCTGGAAGCAAATCCCTGGAGATAGATAACATCCTGCAAAAATAAAACAAGCATGCAAATAGCAGCACGTAAACCGGGGAATAAAACTTCAACCAGACTGTCGGATATCAAAACCCCTATTACTGGAGCACCTGACTGGCTCAGTCAGAGCAGGCAATTCTCGATCTCAGGGTTGTGAGTTCGAGCCCCATATTGGGTGTAGACTTGACTTAAAAATAAAATCTAAAAACAAATCCATATTATTTCTGCTACACCAACAATTTAGGCTCAAGTATCTTAGAATGTTAAAGGTAACTTTGGAGGTTTAGTTCAACCCCCAGTACAGAGCCCACATCTCAGCAAGAGTGACTTCTAGATTGGGGACCATAATGAGATCTCTTAAGACAGTCCCATTCTTTTTGAATGGTGCTGATTATTCAAAGGTTCTTTCCAATTAGTCAATTTCAATTAGACAAATTGAAATTAGTCTCTATCCATTTGCCCCACTTTGACACTGGCTCTGGCCTCCAGAGCTGCCCAGAGGAAATCCAGGCCTTGCTGAAGGACATGGGGTCACATCCTTATGGTCATTGTGTTACCACTCCCCATAGCCGTGCACACAGTGGACACAAAATGCTTGCTGCATTGAACCTATCCTTGCCTTTTCTTGCAATGATTGCTAACAGAGGAAATAGCTTCCGTTTCAGTCACTCCCAAGATGAGAGCTGCTGGTGCACAGTGTGAGATGCTGGCTCCAAGCCCTGACCCGAGAACCCTCACGGGATAAAGTTATGCTCTCAGTTCATTCAGTCAAGAAGCTTTTATTGAGTGCCTACTACATACCAGGCGCTGGGAACATGTCACTCAACAAAATAGGCAGCTGCCCTTGTGGAGCTTTTCTTGTGTGAGAAAATAGAGAATACTTAATGAATATGTGATCTTTTAGAAGGTGATAAGTGCTAGGGGAAAGAAATTGAAGCAGGTAGAAGGAATTGGGAGTGTCAGAATGGGAAGTGTGCTGGTTTCAGTTTAAGTGGGATGGCCATGTAAGTGAAGGCAAGGAGGTGAAAAGGCATCTGTGAGATTATCAGGGGGAAAGAGCAAGGATGGCAGAGGGAACATGGCTGTGCAAAGGTCCTGAGGTGCAAGCCTGCCCAGTGGGCAGGAGCTGAGTCAGCCAGGTGAAGGGGAGCCAGAGGCCCCTCAGAGAGACGTGGGCTCGAGCTGCATTGTCCGCCACAGTGGCCTCTAGCAACGTGTGACTCTCAAGCTCTTGAAATGTGCCTAGTCCAAACTGAGACTTGCTGTATGACTACATGACCTGCCACATTTCAAAGACTTTGAATGAAAACAAGAACGCAAAATTTCCCAATTTTTATATGGAGCCCATGGTGAAATAATAATACTTTATAGAGATACCGCATTTAAAAATATACTGTTAAAATTCATTTCACCTGTTTCTTTTTACCTTTTTATTCATGACTACAGAAAATTTTAAATGTCACATGTGGCTCCTATTTCTG